TGAAGAAGAACTTCACAGTCATCACGATACAAAATGGCGGCGGGACAATGGTAAGTGCTAATTTATTTTATTCTTACTTATTTTCTTTGAGATTTGCTTAGAATCTCAAAATAGTAAAATTTTATATCAGCAAATCGTTATAGGGGTATCTACACTGGGGTGGGCGCCTATCAGCAAATTATATGGGTGAAAATGACTCATTGAAACATATATCAGGCCTCCAGTATATTTTTTTGGACTTTCACTGCTAGCATATACCGGGTGTTTCAAATTCGACCTCCATCATTCGTATCTTGGAAACGGCAAGACATACGAAGTCACTTCAATTGTGGTAAAGTTGCGTATTTAAGGAACAAAATCTGAAAGATCGTAAATTTATCGATAAACACTTATTTTTTTTTGTAAATCCTATATCTAGATCAGGAATGTGATGTGAATTTTTCTCTGAGATCAATAGACCGCCACAAAGGTCCCATTTTTCTATCCTGGATATGATTCAGCGACACTTTAGCGTGTAAAGGCCACTTTTGAGTGTCCCAAATTACCCCCGACTTCTGTTAACTCAAGCGACAGGTTACGAAAGCAGAAAAATTATAATTTAGTAGATAACGTCCAGCATTCTATCAGTAGAACCTGTGGAATCCCTATTTCAATTTCGATACAGTTCAACGATTAGCAAGCAAGAACTGGAGATACCTTACTGATTTGGTCACCATGAGCGGAGACCTCGTTGTTCTTACTGATGTCTCACCATCCGTTCTTAAAACTGGCCGATACCCTCGCTACATTTGCCTATACGGTGGACCGCCGATAATCCGGCCACTGTTTAATCCGGCTCCCCCTGTAATCCGACATGTCTTTGAATATTACATACATACGTATTTGACAATCTTCGGTAATGTAGATCACGCAGATTTGAACAGGTTACAACCTGTACGCGCCACCGCTATTGTGCTCGACGCGTAAGCGTTGTTTTAATTAGTTTGAATTTGACTACTGGTGATAGCGGTACGGCCTAGCGTGCGTTAATTGTTTACTATTTATTCATTGTGTATTAAGTATAGTACCTAGTAATGTCATCACAAACTCAGAAGCGAAAACACAAAACATTGACAATTAAAATAAAATGTAATATTTGTGACCGCTTAAATCGCAATGAAACTTTCAGTAGTTTAGCAAGTGAATACGGCGTAAGCCGATTTACAATTTATGACAATAAAAGAAGATCCAGAAGTTCGTGTCAACTACTGATTGAGGGCCAGGCAAGGACAGACACTCAAGAAAGCTGAACATCCAGAACTGGAACGTGTGGTTTCTTCAGGAAAGAAATAGGCATGCACCAATTTCAGGACCCATGTTGGCCATGAAAGCTAAGTTTCTTTATAAGGAAATAACAAAAAAAGATGATTTTGTGGCCAGCAAAGGATGGCTAGAATGTTTTAAAAGTCGTCATGGCATACGTTTAATGACTATTACAGGAGAGGAACTTTCTAACGATGCCACCTGTATAGAGCCCTTTAAATTAAGAACGATTTAAATCTTGACCCGTCACAGGTGTACAATGCAGACAAATCAGGGTTTTTTTAGCGGGTGATGCCTAACAAAACTTTCGTTTTTTCTAACGAAAAATTCCCCTCAGCGTCGTGCAACTCAAAAATGTCTGCCGGGGTGCAAAATGAATCCCAACAAATAATTCTTATTCCTTATATCCGATTTCTTCTACACCCATGACTGGTATTCGGAGCTTTAGCAGACGGATTGTCTCGATACAAAGGAATGCGGTCCTTCGGAATGGAAGCGACTCAAAGACAATAGAAGATCGGACAACATTTCTCACCTTTTTTCTTCTCTCGGAAAGCCGGCGATCTTTCTTTCTTCGTGGCGTATGGAAGATTTTTGGTTATGTACAAGGTGAATAACAAAACTTTTTGCTATAAATTTAGACAATCTATCTAAATTTGAATATGTCCCTCTCGGGATCAACGCATCTAATTTACCTAAGAAGCAATAATTGTTCTTCAAAATAACACATTTCAAGGATTCGTTTTTCCAATTCAAGTTTCTTAGCTGGTCATTTTCAAGTTGCTGACCTGAATATTTCGATAGACAATTTACGGATCAAACGGGTACGTTATATGGTGAGATTTCTAATCAAAAGGCAAACTGTTAATATGTTTTCACACCTTCTCTGTTTTATGATCGGTTAGTAAGACGTGAAAACTTCGACATATCATAACTGCAATAATTAGCATACGTTGAGACGGAGACATAAATGCAGTGCTGAAAGGTTGGCGAGTGCACGACCTAACACACATTCGCGGTTTTAATAGCCTATAAATCGAGATGGATCTGTATAAAAATTTATTTTCCATCATAAAACAAATGTTAGTGTGAACTGATGTAGAGAATCAGGTCAATTGCGGAATTAACAGATGGCCATCTCGATATGTTTCAGGAAAACGCCCAACTCTATGCTGTAGTTGGATGCTAACTTAGAATTTCCATCAGCGCAGTGTTGCCAGATGGATAAAAAAAATCCCCTAAAACAAGCACAAGAATTGTACAAATTTCTTAAAAAATCCCCAGATCATATTTCAGTACTCGGGGTGTAGAGATGGGTCAGCTAAAGACGGACAAAATTTTCATTTAGCAGTTTTTTATATTTAAAGATGGAATAAAACACAGTGGACCCCCGATAATACGGCCCCTGTAATCCGAGATGTCTTTGAATATTACATACATACGTATTTGACAATCTTCGCTAATGTAGATCACGCAGGTTTGAACAGGTTACAACTTGTACGCGCCACCGCTATCGTGCTCGACGCGTAAGCATTGTTTTACTTAGTTTGAATTTGACTACTTGTGATAGCGGTACGGCCTTGCGTGCGTTCATTGTTTACTATTTATTCATTGCGTATTAAGAATAGTACCTAGTAATGTCATCACAAACTCAGAAGCGAAAGCACAAAAAATTGACAATTAAAGAAAAAAGTGATATTTTAGACAGCTTAAATCGCAATGAAACTTTAAGTAGTTTAGCAAGTGAATACGGCATAGGCCGATCTACAATCTATGACATTAAAAGAAACCACGAGAAGATCAAGAAATTCGTGTCAACTACTGACTGCGGGCCAGGCAAGAGACAGCAGACACTCAAGAAAGCTGAACATCCAGAAGTGGAAGAAGCTTTCTACATGTGGTTTCTTCAGGAAATAAATAGGCATGCACCAATTTCAGGACCCAAATTCGATAGTCCGACACTGCCCTGCATAATGTTTGTCGGATTACCGGAGGTCCACTGTACCCAAAAATACCCATCGATTTTATATTTCCCTAAAAAATGGCCCAGGATATTTTATCCCCGAAAAATTTACCAATTTTTTCTTCAAGGCTTGAAGCCCAGAAGAGGTCTCATTATGTCCTCAAAAAACTTATCAAGCAGAATTTTGTGCCTAAACACCCATACGATTCTTTAACTATGGCCTGAGTAAGATCGGGCCTTAGACACAAAAAAACAGATAAATCAAGATCGATGATTCTATCAACAGTCTTTGGATGATGACGATGCTGTGATTACAAATAAATCTATACTTCAAAATAGATATATGCAGAACCAGGGAATTGTATGCACGCCTATGCTTAAGATCGAAGATGAGCATTCAGTAATCTTGAGATAGTAAAAATTAAAACAATGGGCTAGTTTCGCTAGAGCAGTTTATGTTTGTGAGTCCGATCAAATGTGAGATTTCTGTATATCCCTCCATCTCACAACCAGTAACTTGAATAACATGTACCAATTTTTATTCTTATACAGCATCGATTAACACATTCCACCTGATAAACGTGAAAGACGTGTTACCGTGTCTTCTCTAATCTTTTTTAGCATTGAGAAATTCGGAGAGTAAAAAGTCTTGAAGCAACTTCGAAATAGATATTTTTTTGCTTAAGAATAAAGTCGTCGCGGCATTTTTCTATCATGTCTCATACATTTTCTATGGGGGAAAGGTCTGCAGATCGAGGAGGCTACTGGACGTTTCTGAAAAGTTTAAACTAACACATGCTGAAAGCGCTGAATACTAAAGTGACAAAATAGCTGTTTTTTCCTTCTAAGCGAATTACTAATAAATAAAGACTCAAAGATGGTGGCGACCCTGTATAAACAATGTGTTGCACTGGAACCAGCTGGAAGCCATTGAGGCTTCACCTCCCTTGCAACATAAATCACAAAAATTACTATTAGCGTTATTAAAGAACGCATAAATAATGTTGGTCTTGACTCCAGTGTGGATTCCCAATTATGGCTTTTTGTTTAAGTATCTCTTAGGTAGCCTATATATCAAGGCACAAGCAGAGACTCTTCTGCTATTTATTGCTTCTTAATAATCGGGTACCTCGTAAATCACTTTTCGGGATGAATATAAAAGAAAGCACTGTGCTTATTTGCGTTGTTATTGTCTTACTAATATGGCTATACGTGAAAATCTGAGAAAATTCAATTTAACCTCCTACGTATCAACAAAAATATTGCTATCTCGCATTTTCGAATCCAAATTGCACAATGACTAAACCTAGACACCTTGGTAGCTATGAGGCTGGAGTTCAGATGACGCTAACTTTGAAATTACACGGAAATAATACTACTTTAGAGTCGATGCGCGTATTGAGATAACAGACAACATATGACTGACATTCACTTTCAAGAAATTGCTTTTTACCGTAAAAATTTTGATTGGCGAGATGGCTTGCGATTTTGTACATCCATTTCAAGTTATAATATCCAAAACATACGACAAAAGGGGCGTAGGAGATTCTCCTTTTTCTTTTGATACCGAAAGAAAAGAAAATACTAAGTAGCTTTGTTATGGATGCTGTATTTATAATTACATGATCAAACGAACTTACCTGTAAGTGATGTTCGGTTTTAACTATATGAAAGCCTCGTCTGGTAAATACAACAGGTGTAGTACCCCATTCTCTTCTACGTCGTTTCATTCTTCTGTATATTGGCCATGTACAAATGCATCTTGAAGAAGGACTTTATGCTGCTGCACCTTGAGTTTTTCCCTGTTTGGGTACGCATATCAACAACCAAACATCGACACAAAATTATTATAAATTAAAACGTGCATCGATAAGGTCACAGACAGAGCTGACAGTACACTCAAAAGTTACGTAATTTGGACCACGCTACAACACACTTCTCTACTTTAGAAAGAATTATTAGGACCATATAGATAAACGGAGACGCTCTCTGGCTCTGGCTGGAATTTCGAATATCAAGGAAGAATTCACTAATACCGATTTACGACCTTAGAATAATTTAAATGGGAACGGGGAGATAGAGCATCCGATCCACTCGAATTTGAATATCTACAAGTCTAATTTACGGGATTTCTAAACAGCGACAAAACGGCCGTTTGTCTTCATTTAGTCTTCAGTTTTTTGGACGTGCCGGCTTCTGTTACAACTATGTTAATGCTTTCCCGTTTTACTAATGGCGGTTCGTGGATGTAAATATACAGGGTGTTCCACGGAAAAATGCATTAAGGAAATTTTTCGATAATTTTGGGGCCTATGCGATACTCTAGAATGACATTTTATACAGGGTGACTTTGAAGTTGAGTCATTAATTTTCAGATAATGATTGCAGAAGGAAGATAAACCAAAATATGTGTGTAAAAGTAAAAAAAATTAAAAAAAAAATTTTACCTTGTTTTATAAAGTATCCTCCCGACAAGCATTTCAGTGCGGACCTGTATTTGATCGTGAGGTCTTGGAGCACCGGCATGCCGTCCATATGTGAGGTCTTAAGTCAAATGATTCACGAACCCGATGTACTACATTAACAAAGGCACGAGGGGTTGGTTGCACTCGATTGGGAAACCGATCCGCATAAACATGTGCCATTTTTGATTTCGTTTGAGCCACGCAACAGACACCACTATTCACTCACGCGTTACCGACTGATACTGACTGTACACAACTGAATAAAATAATTGTAAAAACATCGTTACAAATTCTTTCGCTCTTTTGTTTCCGATGCGATGAGCCGATAAGGCGGATTATATCCGTTGTTGCCAAACACGAGCACATAATATTATTATTGAGACAGGGCGGTACTCAAACTTCCAAAGGACTATAAGTTTGTTACTTTAATTTTACCAGAAAAAATGGTAAAGGAAAAAAAAATTCTTTTGATCAGATCTACTCACTGTTAAAATAAATGACTCAACTTCAAAGTCTATACCTGAATCTAACCAATTTTGATTTGTATCAAATTTGTTGAAAAAATGGAGCCAAATAGTGTCACACTTCCTAAACTATGCGTTCATCAGAGCATAAAGGATTATTTTCAGCACAGGTTAGACCCTTCCGAAATAACACAGCGCCTTATATCCTGGATAGAGGATAATTGCTATGCTTTCGTTCATTGCCCCAGAGACCAAGCCTATACCAAGCTGATGAGTTAACAAAAAGGCACGGAACAGCTATCTGTTGCTGGCTGCCTTTAGATTGATAGACAGCATTAGCATCCTCTAAGAAAAAAGTCAGTTACGAACATTTATGGCAGAGGAACTTAACGGATCAAGTCCGTCAAACTAGGTCGGAACAATCAGTTCATAATGTCCTTTTCCTGCCCTATCCGTATTACGGTCCATCTGGCAACGTCGCGTCGCCTCTCCCCAGTATCTGAAAGCATGATGCGTCATACGCGGCAGATCGCCCACAGAGCACCAGTCATGTAGGACACATACGAGCACTGGCACGCTGGCCGCAGCCGTTGAGGTCAACAGACGGTTGTCGATAACATTTTTATATCGTTCTACGATAAGTTTTAGGGGCAAATATTCAGGATAATGAGTCTTATAAGTGCGTATAATTATAGGAGTTGGAAATGTATTGATATACTAAGTTGAAAAAATTGAGCGATACGAGGGATGTCTTTTAAGTTTTGCATATAGAAACATAGTAGGCCGCGCGGATCGAACGTCAGTACTGAGTCTTAACCTCACTCTTTAGTAAACTTAAATTCAAAGTTTCACAACAATACGAGCAGTGTTCTCACTACAGTGAATTTTTAAGTGTCACGAAGTCATTAGAAAAAGGGAACTCAACCGAGAACATTTTCGCGCCATAATTTATTACAATTATCGCAACAAGAATGCCTTGCTGAGTTACTGTCTGTTTTCGGCAACGAAGCGCCACATCAGTCGACAATTTCCTGTTGGTATGGAGAATTCAAACGTGGACGGGTGAGTCTTAGCGACGATCCCAGGGTGTATGCACCAAAAACGGCAGTCACCCAGGAAAACGTCGATGCTGTGCGCAAACTCATCATTGAAGTTAGACATGTGGCATATCGCGAGATTAAGGCGTCCCTGAACATCTCAAAGACCTCAATTCAAAAAATTTTACATGAAGAATTAGGAGTAAGAAAATTAGCTTCCCGTTGGATACCCCTCTTGTTGACTGAAGAGCAGAAAGCAGCCAGGGTTAATTGGTGTCAAAAAACGCTTGACCGTTTCAATTCTGGAAACTCAAATAATGTTACGCATTGTTAGTGGTGATGAATCGTGGATTTACTGTTATGAACTAGAAAATAAACGACAGACGGCTGTTTGGGTGTTCCAAGGTGAAGAAAAGCCAACAAGGTCATCCATTCTCAAAGTGTATCGAAAAAGATGGTCGCGACATTTGTGTCAAAAGCGGGTCATATTGCAACAATCCCTCTTAACCCTGTAATGCTTAGTGGGGTTTCGCATCACCCCAAAGAAAATTCAAATGTTCACTAATTTTTTGTGCATAAATTGGCAACATTGGAGATCCCGCTATGTTCATTTGAGGTTAAAGTGAGTGTGTTGTTGGTCGCACATTTTTGTTCAGTGCAATAGTTTATATGATATTTTGTGTTTGGGGTGACGAGTAACCCCAGGTAAGCTTAAACTGATATTTTTATTTTATTCCACACACTAGATTACGTAATTTATTTATATGGCTGTCCGACCAGATGATCCCAAATTTGAAGAAACTCTGTTACGATGGAATGAAGAACTCGACAATGAACCTGATTCAGATAATGACGTCACTGACTATGACGACCATGTTTCAATTCAGTCCGACAGGGAGAGCACCTACTCAAAGGATGATAGTGAAGTAGAGAGTGAGACACAACAACAACTTCCTGGCAAAGTAATAAAAGGAAAAAGTGGACATATTTGGAGCACTGAGCTTCCATGTCGTACTCGAACACCTAAGCGAAACATTGTTTCATGTATTCCAGGACCAAAAGGTGCGGCCAAAAATATTTCAACGGAAATAGAGGCATGGAAGTTATTTTTTAGCGCGAATGTTATAGATATTATAGTGGTGCATACAAATATGGAAATAGAATGACAAAGAGGGAAATATGTTGCTAATTGTGGCTTTGTTAACGAGACAGACGTTGAACAGATCTTGGCTTTTATAGGACTGCTTTATATGACAGGTTGTAGAAAATACAATCCTCTAACTACAGCAGAAATGTGGTCAAAGCATGGACCAGAAGTGTATCGATGCGTAATGAGTGAAACAAGGTTTAGATTTTTGATATCTTGCCTCAGATTTGACGACAACACCATGAGAAACCGAGAAGATAAATTTTCTCCAGTACGTAATATATGGGAAATGTTTATATCTAACTGTACAAAATACTATACTCCTCACAGTTATTGTACCATCGACGAACAGTTATTGGGATTTCGAGGCAATTGCCCTTTTAGAGTATATATTTCATCAAAACCTGACAAATATGGAATCAAAGTTGTAACGATGTGTGATTCACGCACATATTATATGGTTACTGCTATTCCATATATCGGCAAAGAAAATGGGCCAGATAAAGAACCTCTCCCAGCTTATTACGTAAGAAAACTGACAGAACTCATTCACGGAACCGGACGCAATTTGACGATGGACAATTGGTTTACTTCCATCCCACTGGCTGACAAAATGCTTGTTGACTACAATTTGACCATTGTGGGTACTCTCAGAAAAAACAAGAGGGAAATTCCTCCATCATTTCTCCCAAACAAACGAAAAGAAATTATGTCTTCTCAATTTGGATTCGACAACCAAAAAACCTTGGTGTCCTTCACACTCAAGAAGTCTAAATCTGTGCTACTTTTATCGACAATGCATTCTGGTAGTACAATAGATGAAAATAAAAAACCCGAGATAATAAATTTTTACAATTCTACCAAAGGAGGTGTCGATACCTTTGACCAGATGGTGCACACATATTCGGTATTCCGCAAAACACGCAGGAGGCCATTACGCTTTTTTTATGGTATAATGGATCAAGCAGGCATTAACTCCAACATTATTTTCCAAATTGTTAAGCGTGATAGACAAAAAAGTGTTCGTCGAAAATACCTATTTGAACTTGGACTACAACTGGTCAGGCCTGATATGGAAAGACGTTTGACAAAAGCAATACCTCGAAAATTGAAAGAATCAGTAATGACTATTCTAGATATGAAAACAGAAGAAAAAGTTGATCCACCTCCAGCAAAATTGCTAAAACAGACTCGCTGCACTTCATGTCCAAGAACAAGTGACCGAAAAACAAAAACTGCCTGTGCGAAATGTTTCAACGCTGTTTGCAGTAATCATCGAGCTGAAATATGTACCGAGTGTTTGAAATAAATGTTTTATTATTGAAACAAAAGTGTCTATCTTTTATATTTTGTTCATTAAATAGGAATATATCACTGGGGTTATTGGTAACCCCGCCTAAGCAACTATAGCCGTGCTATTCGCCTAAGCGCTCCAGGGTTAATGAGCAAAGAACTGTTACTGCGGATTGGTATACCACCATTTGTTTGCCAAAGACATCACCGAGCTTCAAAAAATCAACCCCGAAAGAAGAATCATCCTCCACCAAGACAATGCAAGCTCGCATACAGCCCAAAAAACAAGGCAGTATTTAACGGAAGAAAACGTGGAATTAATGGACCATCCTCCATATAGTCCCGATCTAAGTCCTAACGATTTCTTTACTTTCCCGAAAATTAAAAACAGACTGCGTGGTCAACGGTTCCAGTCACCAAAAGAAGCAATTGACGCATTCAAAAATGCCGTTTTGGATCCGCCAGCAAACGAGTGGAATAAGCGCTTTGAAAATTTGTTTGAGCGCATGCAGATGTGTATCAATCTTCGTGGAGAATGCTTTGAAAAACAATAAAGTCATTTAAAACTACCTACCGTCTTGTTTTATTTCCATATGCAAAACTTAAAAGACATCCCTCGTACATCCTCAATCTTTTAACATTAAGAAATTTGTCAAAAACGATCTAGATCCTCAAAGTGTTTTTCGGATCTTAAACCGTTTTCTTCGCCACCACTGAACAGATTTTCTAAAACTACAAAGCTTTATCGTCCTTGAAGTAGAAATAACTTGAACGTGAAATCCGACTTGTACTTTCCAAGTTACAGATGGGCCAAGGATACTGGACAGACCGACAGACAGATTGACACATCTTGGAAAACGAGAGACATGGTTTTTCATGATGTACATGTCATACAACGTTTCTTCGCAATTAAAATTCTTCCTCGCCAATTTAAAGTAAAAATTGCAAATCCCGACTAAAATTTCATATTAATTTGTCAAACAGCTAAGTATCTTGATATAAATCTAATCAAAGATATTTGCATAAAATAAATATTTATCGATGTTGTTGTTAGACACAAGAGTTAATAAATTGTTACATGGAAATGCTGTGACCGTATGCAAAAAAACTGCAAGCATTTATAATATATTAGTAACGTATGAAGGAGCGACAATTGGCAAATTTGGAACATGATTTACGACCTACGTTGAATGTTTTCATTTTTAGAGACGATCTATTCTTTGAAGTAGCATGCAACGATCTCCGAAACCGTGCAACATTTTTCTGGTAATCGTACGCTGATATGAAACATCACATTTCCGCACACATCCTGGTTCATAATTAACCTGAAAATAAACCAAACACGAGCATAATCTGTTCGTAGAGAGACGTATAATTAAAACCAAGGTTTCGCTCACCTTTTTTTAGACCCTCCGTGCTTAGCTACGTTCTGCTCTTCTTAAACATACCGGGGATGCCGAATAAATACACGACTGACACGGCTAAACTCTCGCTCTTACTGGCTACATTTGCAGCCCAAGAATCGGGCGGTCCAGCATCCGTGCTAGTTTTGCCACGACAACTTTTTTTGATATACATTTTCAATTATTATTGGTTGAATTGAAGCATTCACATTTCAAATACGTATTCCCAGCAAGTTAACTTGCTATAATTCAGTTCTGCGAAACTAGGGATTTGATGTCAGGAATCACAATTTACGAATAGCGGTGGAGCTTCAGACATAGTCAAAAACATGGTCGAGAGAATATCTGAATATAATGCGACTTGGCAACATCAGAGACTCCAGTTGCTTGGACTCCATGTTGCCAAGTCCAATATTTCTCGAGGCGTGTATAGGAATGGTAAAGGATTGTCCAATAGGGACGCAGGAAAGTAAACGTCAATTTGACATAGACGCCATCTTTGTGTTCTGTCACCGACATGTCATTTTGTTAGTTGAATGTTTACCATTGATCGCTATGGAGTCGTATTCGATTGAAGACCGCATTAAAGTTATTCAAGAGCACTACAAAAATGGTGCAAAAATAAAAAACACGTTTCGCGCGCTTCGTGAACATTTCGGTCGCAACAACCGCCCAAACGAAACAACCGTCGGTCGTCTGGTGCGTAAATTCGAGGCAACAGGTTCTGTGGCAAATCTGCCAGGCTCTGGCCGGCCAAGGAGCGTTCGCACACCGGAAAATATTGCTGTTGTGAAGGAGAGTGTGAGAGACGATCCGAAACAATCAACAACGCGTCGATCCCAAGAGTTGGGCATTTCGAGAACCAATTTGCTCCACATTCTCCACAAGGATTTGAATGTACACGCCTACAAGATCCAATTGACGCAAGAGCTTCGTCGGGCCGACCATTTTTCGCGCCGAACGTTCTCAGATTGGCTTCTTGAACACCGCCAAATTGATGTCAATTTTTCATCAAAAATCATGTTCAGCGACGAAGCGCATTTCACTTTGAATGGGACGGTAAACAAGCAAAACTGCCGCATCTGGGCGAACGAAAATCCCCGTGAGTATCAAGAGCAGCCAAAAAGTGACTGAAGAACTCAAAAACAACATCATTGCCGAGATAAATGCCATAGAACCGACCATGTTGCAAAATGTCATTGAAAATTTCGACCATCGCGTGTACGTCTGTAAATCCAGTCGTGGTGAACATTTGAGCGATATTATTTTTCATACATAAATGGTATAAATGAACCTTCAAAATAAAGTACCCAACTTGACTTGAATATCAATCTTTCTTGTTTTAATATGCGTTTACTTTCCTGCGTCCATTTTGGACAACCCCATATAATCCAGAAGACAGACTTGTTGAAAATTGAGGTTTTTCCAGGGAGGATGGCACTATTTGCATCGACTGAGTATAACAAAGGCTACCGTATCCAACGATGCTTAGATCGCAAAGCCTGACTTCTGGCTTAATGATCTTCTTTTCGCAGCATTCGACCTAAAATTACTTGAAATTGAAGATTTTGCTTATAATGGGTGATTTTTTTGCTAGTATCTTTTTGGCAACACTGTTTTTGACAGATGACGCGTGAATCGTGTATTGTGTCATTGTCAAACTTGTTCAGTTTGGTCTATAATTTAACCATGAATCGACTTACGAACGATCGTTTGCAAATTATTGAATTTTACGTCAATTAGCCGCCTAGATCGTGTGATTTAACGCCGTTGGACTATTTCTTGTGGGGCCATGTTAAGGCTAATGTCTACAGGGATGAACCAGCAACGATTGACGCACTGGAAGCCAATATTGAAGCATTTATTCGTGAGATACCGGCCGATATGTTGGAGAGAGTGTGCCAAAATTGGACCTTGCGCATGGGCCATCTAAAGCGGAGCCACGGCCAACGTTTACATAAAATAATCTTTAAACATTAAATTATATCGATCGTTCTATCGACTCAATTAAAGATTTAATCGTTTTTTCAAATTTTTTGTGTTTTTTTATTGAAAATCAAATCCTATACCTGTTAAAAAATCACCCGTTACATCTTATATAAGATAGGAGATCATAAGAATATTAATTTGGAATCGAACAATATAACCCTACGGAAAACCATAGCTACATAGGGCGTGTATCTTCGGAGACAATTCCAGCCGCCCCCGGTAGTGTTTCTTCCATATTTCATCAATCCGGCGATTGCTCGGGCCGTTCCACGCTGTGTCTGACGCTCGCTCGTGACCCTCAGCTTATTTGCCGGCGTTATTCTGGCGAAAAAAGATGTGTGGGATAATTTTCAATTAAATAACTGGCCGAAGACGGAGCTTGAAGACGAAGACACGCCGACCGTGCCCCGCTGGAAACGTGCCGGACGGAGCCAGTCATCCGGCATATCGGCTGTTCGGCCTGTTTCGGTTTTGAGTGACTAGTGCAGGACGCGTTATACAGAGACTCCTTTTGCTTTAAACTCTGTATTTTACTGATTCGGTGAAATGCTCGAAACAAAAGCACGTCCAACGTGCATATCAATAGAACAGAAAAAAGGTATTCACCGACTGTCAATGCCACACTATCTAAGACCATGAAACAAATAGAAACGAAAGGTTCACTTACTGTCAACACAAAACGCACAGAACTAGACTAAAGTGCTCAACTTGCTTAACTTCAACTTGAGCTGCAATGGCTCAGAATGTGTAACATTTATGGCTGAGATCTTAAATATCCCGTGTCACGAAGTCTAATAACTAAATTCACAAACATCAGTGGGGCCGGATGATTTCTTATACATCGAAAACGAAACAGACGCATTTACTGGCAGTTCAGTTTTTTTTTTTTGGAAAAACGCTCAGACCCTCGATTTTGTTTTCGAGGGGGACACAAGTTTGGCAAAAAATCACGTTAGCACGTGCAGCCCCCTAAGCGGGGATGACACCACCCCCAAAATCTTGAATGGAAAGGGAGGTCGAATAATACCTTATTTTAAAGGTCTTTCAATTCCCTCTTTAATGATATAAAATTAATGTACTTTAGTTCAGTAGTTTTAAAGCTTAAAGTAGACTTTACTAGGTACATCAGATTAGTTTGTATGACTTTCAGAAGAAATTTGATTAAATGAATTTACTTAATAAGTAAATGCTTTTCTTCACTACGCCCATGGTTTGTATATCATTTTGCTGTTGAACATAGCTATTATCTGTGCGATAACATTCTTATTTTTTAAATTTTTAATCTTTTACCATTATGTTTTTACTATATCAACTCCTTCGATGAGTCCTACAAGCAGTTACAATAAATGACCTAACTTTGAAAACGCCCTGTAATATTTGCAAGTTAAAAAACTACTCTTTATTTACCAATTTGAATAAAATCATCTTAGGAGTGTAGGAAGGAGACTCATTTTTAATCCTGTTATCAAAAAAATACATCATACGCCCACTTTGTTTCTCATAAGAAGCTGCCCGTGGTCTAGTATCGTTTTTTCCGACACTAATTCTCGCTAAAAAAAAAATCGTTTTATTTACTTATTCGCAAGCAATTAATAATGATTTATATGTTCCCTTAGATTCCAGTCAGATTGTTAATGACGTTTTTATTTGCTTTTAATAACACTCAACACTAACTTTATTAATTGAGTGGAATTCCAACGAAGTTACTCTTTCTATGCGGGGCTTTTTATAGACCAATATGTGTATAAATAGATCTTAAGTCATATTCTAGGAATGATCTTTTTTGTTTCATCTTTGATAGGAACTCTATTATTGTAACGTGCAGGTGTGAAAGAAAACTTTTTTACATGAAAAAAGAAACTATACTAAGTGACATATAAATCCGAACACCCAGTTTAAATTTTTTTTATTTTAATAAAAGTTGGTGAATGTATTTATCTTACTGTAAATAACAAGTGAAAAAATTTTCAGCCTTATCAGTTGGACATTCCGGTTTTTATACTGTTTTTTTTTTTAATTCACTAACGCTCTAAAAATGAATATTTCAGCCGCAGTAAAGAATCAACGTTGGCGGATTTTGGTTCTTGACATCCTTTACGATCGGTTACGATGCCTAGAGTTTGATAGCGGCCGTATAGTGGGACTTCGGGAAGCTGGACTTTCTTTTCGGGCAATTGCAGTTAGAGTGCAAAGAAGTGTAGACACTGTGGTTAGGTGTTGTCAGGCATGGCTTCGAGAAGGCCGTACGCAAAGAGCAAGGGGCACTGGATGCCGCCGTAGAACAACAGACCGTGAAGATCGCCGCCTAAGGTTATTGGCCTTAAGGGATCGTTTCTCCACTACCAGGTCCTTTGCAAATGAATGGTTCGCAGAACACGGAAGACCTATTGGCATGCGAAGTGTTTACCGACGAATGAGAAGTTTTGGCTTGTTTTCATACCGCCCACACTGGGTCCTCCCTTTAACTCGAGAACACCGACGTAATCGCCTTGAGTGGTGCAGACAACGGTCACTATGGGATCAGGAATGGAACAGTATTGTCTTTAGTGACGAGTCTCAATTTTGTTTAGGCATGCACGATGGTCGTGCCAGGGTTAGAAGGCGACGTGGTGAAATGAGGAATCCACAGTTTTTTGTTGAAAGACATGTTCATCACACTGTTGGAGTTATGGTTTGGGGTGCTATAGCTTATGGTTCCAGGTCACCTTTAATCTTCATCAGAGGTAACACGAACGCGCAGCGTTATATCCACGAAATTCTAGAACCCCATCTTTGACCCTATCTTGACACCCGGGCAGTTCCAACTTTCCAACAAGATAATGCCCGACCACATGTTGCAAGAGTCACAATAGACTTCTTTCAACATAATGATGTCACATTTTTACCATGGCCACCAAAATCTCCCGACTTATCCCCAATTGAGCACGTGTGGGATATGATGGGTAGGAGATTGCTCAATTTGCAACG